GGCAATAATGGGCTTCAAGTACTGACCCTGTCGGATGGTCTGCCTTGCTGCACCCAGGCACTCGATCCCTTGGGACAGTTGGCTGCCTTGTGGCCCACCTCCTTGCAGTTGTGGCAAACGATCTTCTTGATGTTATCCTTGGCTTCCAACACCGGCAGGTCAAACTTGGGGCTGCATAAGATAAGAAAACAAGTTGGGTGAACATGTACGCAGTAAGGTACAGGGGCAAATGTGGTCCCCCCACGTGTCACATACATCGACAAAATGCGTCTCAACAACAGGGGTGTTCAGGGAGGTTTTCACAGAACACTGCACAACAAAGAGACCACAGGCCAAGGGCTTGATGAGGGTCAGGCCCATTCCCAGTGACTTTGTGCACAAACTTAGGCTGATCTCACAGCAGCGCTCGACTGCTGCCAGCGAGCTTGCACTTGCCACGACCATGTCTCACAGTGTAGCAGTGCGCATGCTTGGCAGCGCGTTGCGATTTCAACTAAAATCTATCAAAACAGTAGCAAATTCAACCAAAGGAGGTAGTGTGCCCTTGGCTGTGCTTCGCGACTGCTCGCTGAAGATTTTCTGGAGTGCAGTATTCTCAGTAGGACAGCATGCTTGAGAGAACAATGGACAGGACATTGTCCAATTAAAAAAGAAAATTCACATTAACCACTTCCTGCAGGGGCAGTTATCAATGTTGATGATGCTGGGGCAGGATAGTTATCATTGTTTTCTGTTTTCAAAATTCTTTAAAAATTCTTTAAAATATTAAATCTTCATTTACTGGACACTTAGACCCACGTGAAGGACTGTCTGGTGGCCCCTCTAGCCTGACAAACAAAATCTATTGACGCCTGAGTATTTCAGCCAGGCCTGTAGCCTTGTGGCTCAGAGTGAAAAAATGTTAGTAATTCTCGGCAGCCTGGTCTTTTGTTCCGAGTACAGTCTTTTGTTACAGGGCCCTGTTCTCTTTGTCCGAGTTTGGAGACCCCGGCCACGCATATAAAGCATACGTGTCCGGATCCGGAATCCCCGGCAGGAAGTGGTTAACCCTTTTTGCATAGTGCATTTTGGGCAAAGTTGACCTATATGTCAGAATCAGTAAAAGGACCCATATATGGGTCCGTGTTCTGTGAAAATCAAGTGAAAAGAAATTTTTGACTGTGGCTGTTGCAGCAAAAGGTGGGTTAACCACTACCAGCCGGGGACTCCGAAATCGGAGCCGTATACTTCA